AACGTATCTGTAGCAGTGAACGTGTTAAGTTGAAACTCGTGGATAACACTTGTTAGTGGGATAAAGTATGACAAGTTGCGAGTTGTTAGAGAGGCGCATCGGTCGAACGATTTCTAGTGTTCTCTGGGAGATCTTTCTCTTTGTTTTCTCTCTCTCTCTCTCTCTCTCTCTTTCTTACTTTCTTTCTTTTTGGCTGACTTTACGATTACGACACCTTCCTGTTCGTTCCTTGGAATATGGAAATTGGACGTCTCGGTTTTGCTTTTTATTGTCGGGTTGCGAGGTGGTCGAAACAGGCGAACGATGATTGTAGACTGGATTAATAAAGAGAATTTCGAGGAAACCTGTCTCAATGGAACCCAAACTGCTCCCTCTCACCCTGAACGAGGCTCAAGAAACGAAGTGAACTCGATCTGTCCAGACCAGAAAATTGGAACGAGAATTCGTCGAAAGATCATAGGAGGAGTGTGATATATATTTGTTGCAAAATCGAGGGGGGTCTAAACATGGCGATTAGCGGTAACAGTATCGCCAGCGGAAAAAGTGGATCTTGCGTTTCAGCTGACAACGAATTCGACGAAAAAATTCCGGCGTTCAGTTTCATTCTGACACAATAGACGAGGGGAATCGATACATATTAATGTCGAGGCGATTCTCTAGCAAAATGCGTTCGATTGCAACGAATTTGGGTCGAGGATATATAACTTGAGTAAATCAGCCTTGCGTTTGTTCAGGTGTAATGGAGCCAACGACTTCCTACGATACCATAATACCTATGACAAGCGAATTCGAAACGAATGAATTCAAATTTCAAGTCTTCTAAAACTTCATTTGCGTTCAGTATTTTTAAAAATTATTTTATACATTAAATATTATTTAATAGAGCTCTGTATACTTTATAATTCTGAATAGATATATAGGCAAATATAGTTGATTTAGTAATCACAGTGTTCCTAAAGTTAAATTAACAAAAAAACATTCTAATGGAATAAAAATGTTTCAACAAATTTGCGTCGTGAAAATAGTATTCTTTTATTTTTTACCTTTACAAGATATTCTACCATAAATACTTTTTTTCGTGCATCGGTAAAAGGAAATGTTTGGCTAATGAGCTTCGTCTTTAATGTTGGAAGAAAAAAATGTCTTCAACACGGAGGCATAAAGTGCACAATGATGTTGACGTCAAGGTGTAGTAATTTCGCGCGTTAATATATCGCAAAATCCCGTTGATTGCATCCTCATTAGCGACTCTGATGCTCTTTTTGGCGGAATGGGCCTCTCGTTAACTGGTCTGCAAACCATTTCTTTGGATACGCTACATCAACAATAGCAATTTCCCGAAATTAATCACGAGCTCCGTAAATACAGATAAATCGTTTGTTACGAGTGATTAAGATTCTGCAGTTTGCAAAATTCTGTTCCAATCTGTGCAACAAATAAATGAAATTAAATTCAAATGCTGAATGAAAATTTTTCACGCAGCAGTCTCTCTTTCTCTGTATAAAATAATTCATAAAATGTACGAATGTCTCATGAAACGTAATATAATTCTATTTAAATTTACTGATCGTCAATAGATCGTCAATTCGACAGTGTTTAATAAACTTCGTTTAATGTTTTAAATTTATTTTAAAGTCCGACAGACTGTTTCCTGCAACGTAGAAAATTGCAAAATATCACCCATATAGCAGACGATCGTACACCTTCGCGAACCTTTTGCCATTTTGCAAAAGTCCCTTATCCATGAATTATCTTGGGAAACTGGCCGATGGCCGATGGCCACGGCGAGACGGCCGTGAAGATCGTACATACATATTAGGGCATAGTAGGGAGTTCAGGTTTCCAACGCGGAGAAAACATGTTTGTGAAAATGTTCGAGAGCCGGATTCCAAGCGGACGGAGGACCTTGAGGATCGAGCGTGGCCAGTTTTCAGCTCCCTCGGTTTCTCGCGTTTCCGCCATGTTCTGGCAACACCCTCGAGGCTTCTCTCGCGTGTTTTCTATATAAAGTGGCGGATGCACGCCTGCGGATTTAAAAGATGCCCGATCGAATCGCCATGAGCTGCGTATACGTAAGGAGGAACGTTATGGTTGCGTGGGTGGTTATGGTTGCTTTGCTTGCTTATGTTATAGTTTGCTTATCGCGGGGTGCACAGTGTTTCTCAAGCTTTCACTCCCTCCGATGTGCCATTTGTGTTACGTTTTATTTAGTGATTTTGTTTTTTTTTTTTTTTTTCGCTAATTCAAACACTTTTGACTTTTGACATAAAGATTAATCCATTAATTTCATTAATCTAGAGAGATTAAATACTATGGTACTAATTTAATCCATACTGTACTGATTTGTACTATCAGCATCAAATGCTATAGCACAGTATTGTAAATAGTATGCATACTATACTAATCTGTACTATTAGTACCAAGTACTGTCACTGTATAATAAGTAATTAGTATACAGGCTTAGATAAGACTTTTGTAATTTTAATGCTAACTGTTAGTATACTAACATACAATACACTAATACTAATTATAATTCTAATTATATAATCCAAATACCATGGATCCTCTACAATGCAATGATCGTCTATCTATCGAGTAAGGATTAAATTTTCCAATTGTTGTAAAATTCTTGAATGATCGCATTCAGGTGCTCCTTCTCTTTTGTTGTCTCGTTCCATCCGGCACGGCCGAGTCAGCCAGGCCAATCCTGGGATATCAGGATAGTTACGGTCAGTACAGTTTCGGCTACAGTGCACCAGGTTCAGCGAGGTCGGAGGTTAGAACGTCGAACGGCGAAACTCGAGGCGTTTACAGTTATATCGACGACGCGGGCGTTATTCAAACCACTCAGTACACTGCTGACAGTAAAAACGGCTTCCGTGTAACCGCCACCAATTTACCCCAGGCGCCACTTCCGGTAAGAATAAACTGAATGAGTGGATTTTGCTATATTATTAGTATATTATTACTGTTTGAGTCATTACTAACAATATAATATTGCTAATCTTGCTAATACTTGGAATATATATTGCTAATACTTGGTACTATAGTATTACTAATTTCAAGTGTTGCTAATACTTGGAATATATATTGCTAATACTTGGTACTATATTACTAATAATAATTTCAAGTGTTACTAATATTTGGAATATATATTGCTAATACTTGATACTACACTACAGTACACTAATACAGTACTACTAATTTCAGATGTTGATACTACACTACAGTACACTAATACAGTACTACTAATTTCAAATGTTACTAATACTTAGAATATATATTGCTAATACTTGATACTACAGTACTACTAATTTCAGATGTCACTAATACTTTAGAAATATATATTGCTAATATTTGATACTATATTAGTACCATAGTAGTACTAATTTCATTACTAATTTTATTTAATACTTGGAATACATATATTACCAAACTTGTTAATATCTGTAACTGTTAGAGTCACTAATATCTGACAGTTATTATTTAATTGCTGTGACACTTGAAGTGTTGTTAATACTTGATGTTACTAATTATTTGATCTGACTTGAGAGTAAAACTTATGTTATTAGTGATTAATTGTTTGCTACTTTATGCACTATTAGTAATCGTTATTTCCAGCCATTTGTTGCAACTTCTTGATATTGCTAATACTTGTTCAATTTTATTAACAACGAATTCGCCAGATACAAAGAGCTAGTACTCGTCAGATGGACGAACTGGCAGGGGAAGAAAATAAAATAGGAGAAAACAATGTATTCTTGCAAGAATTACAGCCATTGAAGAAGATTTCTCAAACAGACGAAAGGGCGAAGGAAGAATACGAAA